CCTCTCGGAACTTAACCGAAGGAAACATTTATTGAAAATGTTGTTTTAAATCTCATTAAGTCCAATAAAATGCAAACAAAATGTAAAAAAAAAAAAAAAAAAACTAAAATAAAAGTTTTTCACCGAAGGTCTGAGAAATCTAAAGCTTTGTATAATACTGTTAGTTGTAATTTTGTTCATTTTATCTACGAAAAAAAGGTAGGAAGGCGTAAACCATACAGCAAACTCAACTGTAATATTTGTAAAATGACTGCATTACACCTTTGAAATTGTGCGGTAAAATGTATAAAGTATTGTTATTTTGTTAATTACCTTTTCCTTCGTTACATAATCATTTTAAGAGTTCGAAATAAATTAGAATTGTTAAATATATTTGAATTAATAAAATATATTTTGGACCAAGGACCAAGGCGTTTGAATTACGGAGTACCTTTGCAATTAATTGCAATTACCTCCACATCTTCGTTCAGAGAAATGAAGTAATTAAGAGAGAAGCATTCGCTAAAGTTGATGAAAGTACAGATAAACAAAAATCAAGAATCGTTGAGAGTCATATATTTGGGTGTCCGCCATGCTTCCTTTAAGCTGCTGAAGCTCGCTGCCGCGCACATATTTCTATGACCTACCACTGAAACTTTTATCTCCCGCTCACAGACCTACATCTCCGCCTGATCATATAATTAATACTATTAATAGAAATATTGTATATATTTAATCTCGTTTAAAATTTTATTTTATTTAGGTGAGTTTCTGCATGGCTCAAACGCAAAAAAATTATCGAGAGCATTAGAGCAGGGTTTCCCAACCTTTTTCTTATATTGAAACCTTTTAAAGGAAAGGTTTTCTTCATCGACCCACTTCATTTTTCTCTATTATATACGGAATACATTACAATTATAATACATGGCACCTGAAAAACTTAAAGCCAAGAATATGAACAGACGTTTTGAAAACAAATTTTTTAATTAGATTTATGTGTTATTATTTTTTGTATTTTTGGGTATTTTTTAAAATTTTACAAATACAAACTAGTTTTAGAAAGACAACCACAAATTAAATTACGCAAAAGTTAGATTTTAATTTTCCCTATCATTACTACATAATTTTTAATATTTGGAATACAAGTGTTTAACTTAATTCTTAAAGCACCTCTCTTATTTATTTTTTTTAATTTATTAACCTTCCCCCCCCCCCGTGTATTAATTTGACTAAAGCCTGCTTCCACTAGACAAGAACAACTGCCAATAAATTTGCTTCCATAACAATTTTTATTTTGCGCCATTTTTCTAGAATAACTTTTAAACTTCAAAACTTAGCGTACCTATGTGTTTTGAATACGTTTTTGTATCATGTAGCTTTATACCAACAAACAATCAATGTTATTAATATATGTTTCTGAAATCAATAGGTATATCGATTATGCCAAACAATTGTCGGTGCATATTAGTTTATCAAACCCTTGATCATCATTGCCCCCCGCAGTGTATATCGACCCCGTTGGGAGCCCCTGCGTTAGATAGAGTCCTAGGCTTCGACGGCTGAAGACAACTGGGAAATTAAATTATACACATGACGTTCGTAGGTTAAATATTGTATTAGAATAGAATTTAAACATCTTCGTTACATTATTTTCCTGAAAAGAGAGGAAAAAATGTGTTAACTGCACTAAAAGAAGAAGTGTTTGAAATGACTCACAGATGGCACACGGCTAGATGTTTCTGTGCTGGATGAACTCTCCTTTGACCATAATCCGGTCAGAATGATTCTGGATATTAGCAGTTATACCTCATCAGACACAAGAGCCTTCACTGTTGTCTGGCAAAAGTTCGCCAAAGCTCTAAACAACATTCAATACACACTCCCAACGATACACTCAAGGGATGATATTGATAGTTTAATTCAGAACTTCACAACTGCCATTACTGCTGCTCACAACAATTCAAGGAGAGAGCTACCAAGAAAACGTAACTATAGAAGCAAGGAATTACAGCAGTTAATAAAACAACGTAATGCAGCCAGAAGACATTTCCAGCGAACCCATAGCCGGGAGGACAATAACATATTCAACGGGTTAGTCAATACTGTCAAGTCTCTTTTAAATACCCAAACACAATAAGACTGGACCAACTACCTCAATTCACTTTCCGCTGATGGCAACTTATCGTGGGAAGCCATTAAAAGGTATACGAAATGCCACAATAACATTCCGCCTCTTAAAGGCCCACAAAGGATCCATTACACTGAAATTGAGAAAGCAGAACTGTTAGCTATGCATCTGGAATCTCAATTTCGCACAAACAACATTCATGACACTACAACAGAAAAATCTAGTTCACAGCTTTTTTCCAACTTCCCAACAAATCCAAGCGCTGACAAAATCATTCCAGCCTTCCTGTCAGAAGTCTATGCATATATCAAAAGAATCAAGAAAAAGAAAAGTCCTGGCATAGATTCCATCACCAGTTGTATGATAAAAAAGTTCCTAGTCAAGACCATTTTCACTATTACTAGAATTTGCAACCTTATTCTAAAATGGCAACACTTTCTTCAACCTTGGAAGACTGCGAAGATCATTCCGATCCTCAAGCCCGGAAAACCTCCATCTAAACCAGAGTCTTATCGCCATATCAGTTTACTCTCTTCCATCAGTAAAATCTGTGAAGCTCTCCTACTCAAGAGAATCAACGACTACAAAGAAAGCAATAATATCATCAGACCACACCAGTTTGGTTTTATGAAGCAACTGTCAACAACTAACCAGCTCTACAGAGTAGAAACCATCTCCGAGGGAATGGCAACACGTTAGGTCACTAGAGGACTGTTTCTAGACATTTCTAAGGCTTTTGAACGAGTCTGGCTGGATGCTCCCACCTACAAATTACACGCCCTGGGATTCCAAGGCTACATCATTATTAATTCCTACCTAACCGGTAGACACTTCGTAGTTCACATTTCTGGCACAATTTCCACAAGCCATGCCATCCAGGCTGGCGTTCCACAAGGGTCCTTACTTGGAACCACACTTTTTAATATTTACGTGAATGACATACCATCCACACAGGACACAACATTAGCTATGTATGCAGGCGACACTGCGATCCTAGCACAGAGGGCATTCGTAGGTCCAGTCATTCAACGATTACAAAACTACATCCATACATTAGAGACTTGGCTTGCAAAATGGAAAATTCAAGTCAACGTGGATAAAACACTGGCTATTACGTTCACAAAGGAAAAAAAAAAAAAAAAAAAAAAAAAAAAAAAAAAACCAAATTCAAGAAAAATCTCATCTTTAGTGGCACCCCTATTCCTTGGGCCAAGCAGGTCCCTTATCCTGGGGTGATCCTCAACAAAACTCTTTCATGAGCCCCACATATTACATCTATTATCTAAAAGTTTCGAGTTCGTAAAGCTAAACTATACCCTTTAATTGCTCGAAACAGTATTTTATCAATTGACAAGAAGTTACTCATTTATAAGTCCGTTCTCCGTCCATTACTATGTTATGCTAGTCCAGTTTGGGCCTATACCAAAAAATGTAATAGGAAAAAATTACAGACTTGACAAAATTCTGTTCTTAGAAAAATATAGTTAAAGCGAAGTGGTATATTCGCAACAGTAGAATGCATGAAGAACTGAGTATGGAGCAACTACGCTCACATTATTATAAACTTGCTAAAAGTTTTCATGAAAAACAAAGAACAACTATTAATCCAGCCATTAAGATTTGTAATTATGACTACAATGACCTAGCAAATATGGACAGGCCCATGGCCCAACTGAATGTATATATTATGCAATATTTATTATAATGCCTTTACGGTTTATGTTAACCTTCTCTTATTGTATCTAATATGCATTCTTTTTAGTCTTACGTTCATAGTATTTATGTCTTACTTACCGGGTTCAAATTACCAGTGTTCGCCTAACCTTGCTTTTATCCACACGCTCATCAGCTCGACGACTTCTGGCCTGCATTCATTTGACATTGCTTAAAACTTTAATTAGCATTTAACTTCTGGCTTAAATATGAATTCTAAATTATTAATTATTCACTTTAAAAACTTTTATAAAAAACAAATTATTTTAGATACCTTTTAGGTTATTTCATCATACCATTCGCAATTCGCAAACTGTTCTACAAGGGGTAGAGCGTTGTCGCTCAGGTACCCTCGTGTACCAAACACCGTTCCACGGAAGAGAGATGGCACACGAGTTTCTACATTTCCACCTAATGCATCAATTTGCGAACAACGACCTCGAAAGTATCGTCGTCTGGCACTCTGATTAGGTAGTAAAGATCTATTCGTTTTTGTTTGTTGGCAGGCATTCATTTAGCTTATTCATCAAGTGTAGTCGGCTGATGTTTTTCGCCTTTCGTCATCTTACGTCAGTGCATGTTGCCGTTGTAATTCCAGATTTTAGCTCTCCTTTTTTATAGTTAATATCAAAATTTCGTTTAATCCTAGTGTACGGTACAAATGGGATTTGGCGACTTTGGGCGACATTATGATGAGCAGTTAACTAGTCATTTTGGTGTTGGCGACAATTTTCAAAATCCCGCAAAGGCCGTACCGTGTACTAGGATTTTATCCAAAATTTTAATGTCGAAAAATGTATAAGAAAAAGTTTTTAAAAAATGCATCGTGCAGTAGTTCTTTTACTCAGAAAATGGCTATAAAATAAAGTATGCGGCACATTTTTATTTCTATACAAAGCTCGCAACAGTACTGCTCTCTCTTTGATAAGGTAGCTATGAATACTGTCACTTCAAATTAAACGACTTCATTGTACAAGTATTTCGCTTCGTATTTTGATACTTTTCATAGCTGAACTCTGCACCTTTGAAGAAGCTTAAAGGGATACTTTTTCTTTTAGTCCTTTATATACTTTCAAGCTTGGATATTAAAAGCTATTGATAGCCTTTTACTTTGAATAAATTTTCTATTTTTGTGGAAAAAGATATTTTTTGAATTGTAAACTGAAGAAAAATACAAAAATTACATTAAATGTTTTAATAAAATTTTAAAAACAGTAACACACATTTTAAAAACAAAGGTAATTGAATGCTACAGGAAAATATGGAGTTATATAAATTAAACCGCGTATCATGATGAGATTGCATTTTCTGTGATGCCTTAAAATAGATGTTTCATAAAATCTCAGTGTTCAAGTATCGGTTGTCTTTCTTCCGCTGCACCTGGATGCGTTGGAGATCTGTAGTTCCGTTTGAAAGCAAAGATGAAAGCTGCTGCTACCTGAATAATGATGTTAAGTAACAGAAATATAATTAAATAATACATTACTCAAACCAAAAATATATATTTTAAGCTTAAATTAACCAAAACTTTGTTCTTTACAGTTCGTTTATTTGTGTTCCCAGAGTTTTATTATCAAGTTAATATACAGTATGCAATATACAAAGTCAATATACAATATGCAATTTACAAAGTCAATATACAATATGCAATATAAAAAGTTAATAACATATAGTGTTTTTGCAATTGTAAAATGCTATGTAAAACGTGAGAGAGAATAAAAAAATTATTAGCGAGAGGTACTCTGAAGAAATATGAAACCGAAAGTGAAATAAACAAGATAAATTGCGCGTGACGTAACAACAGGTATGAAGCATTAATGCTAAAAAGCATTGCTGTAATCTTCCCCGTTTTGCAACAGGTGCAGATAAATAAGCTGGCTAGAAGCCACTGGTAAAATTTACAGGGCCAATAAAATGTGATTTTGCAGCTAAGCTTTAAGTTAGGAACGCTAATACCTCTCGCAGTTTGAAATTCACACACATTTTTTTGACTGCTCAAAACCTATGCCACGACGAGTACACTAGTTGGCCAAAAGCCTTGCCGACAGTATAAATAACAGACAGCACGTTGCTGATCTTTAATAAATTAGGGCAAAGTACACAAGTGCTATCTGGCTAAGGGAAGGGATATTTTCTTGGAGGCTTTCTAAGGGAAACTGGGTCGTATTCACGTTACGCTTGAGAAAAACCACGGAAACCCCTATACAGCTAACCGTTCGTCGCGATTCAAATGTTACTTCCTTTTAGCTATGAATGGAAATGTTTGATAGTTGCTTATTGAGTAACAACTTATATGTGTTTATTTTATTGTTTACAATAAAAGCAATTGCACATTTCAAAGATTCCAAAGATTTAAATAATTCTTTATTAATGTAAGATATTAGTGTGCTTATCATGTAATAATGTTTTGTTACTTAAAATGACTCTAATAGTTTTAAGAAATAATACTCCACAATACGTAACATAGGAAAAATTAAGTATGGGTAAAGCTTCTGTGAGATACTTTACTCTTCACACAATTTTTTTTTTTTTTTTTTTTTTTTTTTTTTTTTTAAATCTCAGCTTGTAGAGTTTTTAATTTTTTTAAAATCAGGAGACGTAAAAAACGTGTCGTGCCCTCTCCGAGACTCGAACCTTGGTCTGCTCGAATACGCGTTGAGTACGTTTCGAATTACACCACGAAGGCATGAGGAAAGGAGGGAGAAAATACCTTATAAGTTAACCATTCATAGTAATCTAAACAAAGAATAATAAGAGAATTCTGAATTTTATGAAGTGAAATATTTTATTGAAGGTGTATTCAAACAGTTAAAAAACAAAATATTTAAAACAACACGGAGTTAGTTTTATCAAAGGCTCGGAAAAAATGTTACAAGAGTATTTTCAATTAAATTTCAGATTACACATTTACTCATTACATAACTTTGAACTGAGGATTATAAATAAGAAATAGTTAGTGGCGACTCGTCGAAAAAAAAATAGCAGTGGTTTTAAGAGATTAATTAAGACAGTACCTGGCTATATTGATAGTGATTTCATTTTTATAAAATTATGTTTTGTTTGTTTTTATGGCATTTTATTACTTATATAATTTTTTAGTATCTATTTACTCTTTAACTGAACATCTTTTGTATATGGTTTATAGGTATGTATGTGGTGAGATTTTATGTTATGAGCAGCATCTAGAAATAAAGATTTTATCATAAGAAAAATAGTAAGAATATATACCGAAACAGCCTCAAGTCCAAACAGTATATAAGTTGCTTTTCTGACACCTAAGTAAAAGTCAGTGAATCCTGTAGTTACAGTACCTGAAGCATATCTGCAAACAGAATAGAAGTTTATTTGTTGGAAGCTCAAAACACTGTTAAAGTTCTATTTCATTATACTTACCCCAGTGTAGATCCAAATAAAAAGACCAGAAAGCTAATTTGACCAGCTACTTCTGCATAACTTCGTGTCTTTCTGTAAAAACCAACAAAATGTTTGATGTTAAAAAGACATTTTCTGTAAAATTTAATTTTATGTAGATATATAACTAGGAAAATTATAATTATATATATATTTATATATAATAAAATTATAAAATTAATTAAGAATATATGTATGTAATCAGGAGGTAAAAATTAAATCAAATTATGAAAAAGGGCCTAGTCCCCAAAAGGAAATACAAAAAATAAAATAAAATAAAAATTGAAATATATATATGAAATGTATTTTCTCATACATTATTTGTGTTGTGCAGCCTGGGCAACAGGAATAACACAAAAATTTTGGAATATAAAGTGATACGTTTATTTTAGCATCCATCTCACAAGCGTTCCTCCTGTACCTTAAGGAGAAACCCTATTTATAGATATGTGTGTGTCCTGGTGCTCATCCAATCAGCGATATTAATTAAAATCACGAGGTGACGCTATCTTCTCATCAGGAGTGTTCTTAAGGATTTTATGTAATATGACAGATTTATGAGTTTGGCGATTTGGTGGGCGCCAACAGGTTAATATAATTTATAATAAAGAAAGGATTTCGCCAAAATTTAGGAACAGGGATGCAATTTCGGAGAGAATCGCCAACACATTATTAAGGAATATGATTAGAATTTAATTTAATCAATTGATTTAAAAAATATCATTATATATATATATATATAATTAATAAGCTAGGTTGTATATATATATCTATATAATTAATAAGCTAGGTTGTATATATATATATATATATATATATATATATACATGTGCATTTATATATGCGTATGTGTATTATTTACGTAGTTTAAGAATTAATTGCCTCAACTTTAAGGGGTGACGTAAAATTACATAAGAAATAAATTTCGCAATGCAATGTGTGGTGGAATATGAAATGTGTGAACGTGGAAACTTAGTAAGTAGGAAGAACGTATGCAAATACGCAATTATATATAGGAGTTAACATCAGCCATTGGTGGTTTTTTTTTTTTTTTTTTTTTTTTTTTTTTCACGTACCTTCAATGATGGTGTTGGAAGCTTCCTGTGATATCTTGAAAGACCCTTAAGAAAAGGCTGAGGCAAATATATATATAAAAAAAAAGAGTGCATTGCCTCGGAGGAGAAAAAATCCAATCAAGTGGAGGAGACATCAAAAAGTTGCCAATGAATCGAGTGTGGTCTCATTGCACAATCAGTCTCTTAAAATTTCATAGTCTATATGTTTAGAAACGTTGCAGTGCTTGAATTGATTGCATTGTTGAAGGAATTAGAGTTAATGTTGTGTAAATATTCATCCACAGTTTTAATACTGAGGTCCTTTATAATCCGCTGTAGAGAAATATGGAACGAATATCTCTGCCTCGGCATAACTTCGGGAGTAGAATGGCGTTCCCAGCAAAGAAAGAAATTTAATGGTAATATTCATAGCTTTGCTGCATACTTAGGAGATGTGATTATTTCAGAATAGAATAGTCCGAAATTCAGTTTGACTCCAAGGTAATCAACAGTTATAATCTTGGTGTATTTTGTGTTTAAGTACCTTGTGCAAATTGCGTTTACGGTCCCGTGTGGTGATGAGGAGCTTAAACTTGTCAGCATTTATCGAAGTCCTCCAAAAGTTTCACCAAGTTCCTGTGAAATTTTATCTTGAATGTTCACTAAAAGTATAACTTTTTTGACAGAACGAGTGAGGATCACCGTGTCATGGGCATAGAAAGAACACAGAGAGCTAAAAATCGTTTTAATCGAGGATGTTTACAAACGGTAATGTTTGATATTTACAAGAATTGTTCAAAATAAACATCCACCTACTGTAATACTACATACATCAAGATGAAGACAAAGTGACCTGGGGTACATTTGGAAGAGTTCCATCACGTGCCAGGTACTTCTGCAGCACAGCCGCTAATTTTGTTGACAGGGTCTCCAGATGAATCAGTCTGCGTTTTTTAAAAGGACTCAGTCGTGATTGAGATTACATGTATTGCGTACATTACTAAACTGCTTAAATTAAACGGGGGTTAGCGGAGTCCGGTTTCGAAGCTTCTCAGTTTTGAAGTGAAATCGTAATTTCAGTTGGAGTCTCCCCCCCCCCAATGAGGTATGATGTTTTAATTCATTATTTAAATTTTGTATCATAAATGTAACTTATGTATTTATTTTTATTAGTCCAAAGAGGCTTTGTTCCTGAAGGACTATTGTTTTCGTTTTGCGATTTTGCGTTGGTTCACTATAAATGTCCGTTTCATTTTTCAAACTGTTGCCACCAAATGTTAGAGCTCTGTATTATATTTGAAGAAATTAAATAATGAAAAATCGGCATAATGTATGTATATTTCTCGCATTGTGATAAAACAACGGTACATAGAGCCATCGAATTTTGAATGACGTAATCCTACTGCGAATACGGGCATGTGGAAGCCCAAATTTGAAATTTGGAATTTGTTTTATTATCGATTTCATATTTTGTAAAACTTTAACGAATTTTTGATTAAAAATACTCAAAGATTTCAAAGCGAGCAATGGCAACGTTGTACAAAAAAAAAAAAAAAAAAAAAAAAAAAAAAAAAATTATCTCCAGCGTGTGAGACTTTATATCGGAAATTCTAAAAATATGCTCAATTTAAAACTATTTTGCGATATTGCTCTTGAACTGAAATTTATGGTTTAAGTGCGAATAACGTGATATTTAATAAATAAAGGTAAGAGACAAAATGTTAAAAACGCCCCTTTGAACGTAATTTAAAATCTGAAATCTTTAATATTTTTATTTAATTCTTTACATTTTTGGCCCACCAGCGGCCGAGCGGTAAAGTCGCTGAACACTGGTAGTTCGGTCCGAGGTTCGAATCCCGCGAACGGGCTGGCTGCATGGGCGTTTTCGTGGTTTTCCCCATGTGTAACGTGTATACGAGCCAGTTTCCCTTAGAAAGTCCTCCACGAAAGGCATCCCTCCTCTTATGCAGATAGCCCTAGTGTGCTTTGTCATAATTAAATACACCACACCACTTTACATTTTTGTATTTTAAGGTACTGATGCCTATATATTCTAAAAGCCCATTAGCTTTGTCGAGGTTAAAACTTACGGCTGTATTTGTGATGTCACTGTAACTGAGGTCATTATAGCCACAATCTACACCGTTATGTATGTTTCCAAAAATTTATGTAAGCATTCAGTTTGAGTTAACAGTAGGAAAACTACTAAACTTGAAAAGTATTTTACTTAGCATTTTTTTTTAAACTGGATCTGGATCGTAAATTTAAAGTCTTGCCTCTACTACAAAGAGTAATCACCAGTAGATATCTTGGTCCTTGAGCTCTTACTTTATTTATTTATTTTTTTTTCAGTCAAAGGCACACTGTCTTGTGTGCCGCGTCCTGGGGACGAAAAAAACTAAGAAACACTGGTGGCAAGTCAGGAAAATCATTCCTTCGTGAAAGTTCAAGCATTTAAACAAAGATGCTGAAATTAGTCCATTTAAGCAATAATGCCTTCGTAAATACATGAGTAGGTGCGGCTGAAGTCTTACACACAGTTAGCAGCTACGTGAGCGTGCATAGAGCAGGAGAAACAAGTACATCGTAAAGTCACATGACATAAAGTCAAATTCAGATTGATCCTTGCTTTAAGCAGAGCGGTTATGATGATGAGACGTAAAAAGCTGATATCTAAAATACATGTAATTTTAAAAAAATGTAGCTGGGATTATTCTAACTGAACTTCAGAGAGTAAGTAATTTCCACGTTTGTAAATATTTAAATTACACAGTTCAATGGCTTTGCAAAATCAAAGTCCGTTGAAGAAACACGAAAAAGCACATTTTAAAATAACACCAAACTTGGCTATATACAAAAACGGTGCACAGTTCGCTTTGTCAAGATGATTTATAAAAATCACAAAGTCCTTGGTGCAAAACACTAAACACAAACTAGGCAAAAAAAAAAAAAAGTGAGTAAATAAGATACGAAAAAAAAAATACGAAATATTTACATTATGTATTATCACTACCACCGTGGGTTGTGGTGCATTGAACGTGGGCGTTTTACAAAACTCTGAGTGGGATCGTAGGTAGTAAGATTTCTTATGGCAGAGTATGGAGAATTTTGCATACTTGTGAAAGAATTGTGTGCTGTGGTCAGAATATGTTCCTGAATTGGTAGAATTTTTAACTCTTCATTGAGCTGCGAGTTTCTTATGAACCAGGGAGCGTTTGTAATAGATCGAAGTATCTTGTTTTGTAACACATTCATCTTCTGTCTGTCTGTTTTCGTTGCTGTAGCCCAGGCCAGGTATACAATAAAACTGGACAAATTAAGGGGATATAAAGTGTTCTTTTAATCTTTAAATCCAATTTAGAATTTCGTCCTAATAACGGGTAGATGGCCATGAATGCTGCATTAGCTTTATTGGTCGCGTAAGTCACGTGATCATGAAAAGAGAGAGTTCTATCAATATGCACTCCAAGATATTTGTAAGAATTTACAACAGGAATTGGGATATTGTCAATTTTTACGTCAATATTAAGCGGGAACAATTTTTTATACCATCTGTAAATCACTATGTTACATTTAGAAGGGTTCACTTTAATCTTCCATAGCTTGCACCATGCATCTATTTCATTAATTTGGTACTTCAGTTAGTTAAAACCACGGTGTCATCAGCATACTTTAAAACAGTTGAAGAGAATGGCTGAGGCATGTCATTGACAAAAATGCAAAATAATTTTGGCGAAAGTACGCTTCCCTGTGGGACGCCTTTGTACATTACTTTCTTGCTGGAGAGAGAATCACCGCATCTAACTTGAAAAGTTCTTCTTTTGAGAAATGAAATAATCAGTTTTAGAAAGCCATTAGGAAGTATGCAGTTTGAAAGCTTGTACACAAGTCCTGCATGCCACACTCGATCGAAAGCTTTTTCTTTTTTTAAACAAGATGCTTCTTGGAAATTAAGTAAAATTTGCTAGTCTGAATAGTGGTGGTAAAAGAACTGCAAAC